CCCTGTTGAACCCTCCTTCAATCCCCATCCCACCACTCCAGAACCTTCCAGGACCCCCAAGTTACCTTAGGTTCCCAAGAGGCAAATTCCTGGGGCTGGGAGGTTGCCTACATGGGTCTTCCCTTCTGGGCTGAACCCCCGGTCTGGAGAGGCCACTTCCCCACCTCCACCTGGGAGCCCATCGGTACCCACCTGCCATCAGAGGGCAGGGAAACTGAGGAGGAGGAAGCTGAGTCTGCCCAACCCAGACAAAGCCAGGGAGGGCGGGGCAAAGATGGGGAGTCTGCCCCTGGAAATCCCTCCTTCACCCCGAGCCCGGTGTGTCCCCCTGACCTCATCACGTAGGCCTCTGCCCCCAGGGCCCTTTGGGTCTCCTCCCCAACGTCTCGTGCGGCCCAGGATCCGGCTGGACCGGACTGCCAGGTGCTGCCAGTGCCGTGAGACCCTTCAGGACCGAAGCTGGGAAGAGCACAAGCCTCTCTCCCAGAACGGCTGGGTGATGGCGGGACGCGGCACAACAGCGGTCTGGTCCACCGTGGTGGGGTGTGAGCCGGTCTGGCATTGTCTGGGCAAGGTGAACACATGCATCTTCCGTGACCCAGCCCTGCCACCTGTGAGCAGATCTGCCCCAGAAGGGCTCACGCAACGTGTCCAGGAGACACGGACTAGATCATTCCCGGACGCCTGTATAGAATGGCAAACCGGGACCCACACACACGTCCCCTCCGAGAGGTGGGCAGAGAGAGGTGTGTTCACACCACAGAGCACACACAGCCACCAGTACCTGCATACGGTCCCATTTAAATAAAGGTCAGATGAGGCAACACCCCGCCCCACCGCTGAAGGAAGCAGACCACGTGGGAACAGCACAGCACACCGAGAAATGACTGTGCCCAAGGTGGGGACCAGCAAATCGAGCACCTGAACACAGCTAGGAGGGGACTTGCAGGACATCCGGAATCCCAGTCCAAGAAACTTCCCCTCGGTAAGGCAAACTGTTTGTCAAGAACATTCTGGGCTCATAAAACATCTTCCAACCTTGAGTAAACACTAAGATCCAATGTGAGCTGTGTGTAGCTGGTTTGTTTACACAGCAACTCCATGACTAGCATGGGGCTTTTCAAGCAGTGACACCTTAGATTTGTGCATCGAGGAATGGGAGTGACGGGGGACTGGGAAGGGTGACACTGCGGTTTCTGGCATGTCCCCGGGAGGAGGGTTCAGGTGGGGATAAAGAGAAGTAGGAAGGGTCTGTTTTAGATGTGCTGACAGCTGTTCCTTCTCCACTGGGAACAGAGGGCACCTTGGAACTGGCAGAACGGCCCTTCCCTGCATTTGCCAGAATGGGAGGGCACAGGGTCCCAGCCCAGCCCCCGCCCCCAGGGTAGATGAGGCCTGCGCCTGGGTGTGGGACAGCAGCGCCTGGCAGCAGTGGGAGCACAATCTGCCCAGCTGAGCCCCTGGCATTCAACCACAGAGCCCAGCCGGGGCCCTGCAGCGAGGCTGGGGCCATGTAGCTGCCGAGGCTCTGCTGAAGAATTTGACCACAAGAGCAGAGGAAAAAGTGGAAGCAAAAGCGCCCGCCCAGGGGGTAGGCACAGCGGCTCCATTCTGGCCTCTGGGGAAACTTCACCTGGTGGCCTTGGGCAAGGCTCTGGCCATCTCATCTGAAAAGGTCCCTCACAGTGGGGCGGCCAGCACTCTCTGGGTCTCCAGGACTCACTGTGATGGACCATGAGGATTTGCCACCAACGGGCACAGGGCCCCCTTGGAGGAGACACCCCTGTCCAGGGCCTGGGCAGCAGGAATGCTTTGTGGTTGGGTGGGACCTGGAGGAGCCTGGAGAAGCAGCCCGCCTGCCCACTGTGCCAGGCGCGCTGGAGACGGGGTGGCGGGAGAACGCTCCAACGGCCTTTACCTGCCAGCCAGGTGAGGGCCGCACCCTGGCTGGGCTGGACTTCCAGACAGAGCAGGTATGAAAAGGAAGCTTTGTGTGTCTCTGTGTAGGGCTCTGGGTAGCCCTGCTGGGCAGAGCTCCAGGACAGGGGACTGAGCCTCCCCGGTGGGCAGGCCCTGCGAACCGTGCGAAGCCTAGTTCCCGAGCCAAGCCACCCTGCGATCTCGCCCAGCCCGAGGCTTCACTCTTTTCTTTGGGCCATTTTGTGATAAAAGTAGAAGCACAAGGAATGGATACACCACGGTGCAGGGAGAGCTCACAGCCAACGATCGACCAAACCCCACACTCCCGGCACTTCCTCGGCCTCTCCGACTCCTGATAGCCTCAGAAACAGAGTCGTTTGTGTGCACAAGTGCACGGGTGTCGGGGGTGGGTGCAAAACTAGAAGGTGCTGGCAGAGAGGCACCCTGAGTATGGCCGTCGGGAAGCCCAGGGGCTGTTCACACCACCCCCCGAGCCGGCCACACATCTGCAGGGAGCAGCACGCAGGGACTTCCAGTCCCTACACCGTTGTCCTCAACTCAGCGGGGCCCATGAGGGCCCACAGAGCCCAGGCTCAGCCGCCCTGTGCCCCTTGGGGTGCATCGTGCGCCGACAGTGCCATCTGGAGGGAGAAGGGGGCGGTGCAGAGAGGAATGTGGCTCCCGCCCCCTGGGGCCACCAACACCAGGCCGCAGAGGCCAGCTAACATTTTCTAGGAGCCAAGTCAACAGAAATTAAAATAAACAAGTGAATTAACATGAAATTTCAGCATTTCAACATGTGGTCAATATAAAAACATGACTCAGACTCTTGTACAATCTCCTCTCCCCACTCAGTCTCTGCAAGCTCCTGTGTATTTCACACTTCCGGCACATCTCAATTTGGACCAGCCACACTGCAAGTGCTCAGTCGCCACCTGTGGCTTGTAGCCAACAGCTGAAAGATCTCTATCCCTTTAACACACACGACCTACACATCGGGGGCCCCTCTTCCTTTTCTGTTGCTTGGCCTCCCCCACCCCAAACCCTGGCCTTAGTCCCCACCTTAACTTAGCTAACACTCTTCCTCCGACCTGCATGTTAACAAAAGCAGATTTGCATCCTTGCAAACAAATTAAAGGATCTGAAATCTTAAATGCCTTCAGGAACATATAGGGTAACCATCTTTTCCAACCAGGACGGATAACTCCATAAAACAGGGCTCAAGAAAAAGGCAGGTTGCAAAATAACATAATACAATTTTTGTAAAAACAAAAAAAGAAAACATTAGCAATATGTTTTCACAGAGAAGGTGTCTAGAAGGATTTGGCAAATTGCTGATGGAGTTTCTCTCTCTGGGAGGCAGGCATGGGGATGTCCCCCAGACACTTTAACCGCATGGCACGCAGGCAACTGGAATCTGAAAGGACCAACCATTGGTGGCGCAGGGTGGGTGCAGCCTCCCCCACACCCACCCGCTCATTCTCAGGCTTCCCGACTGTGTGCGGGACCTTGTTCCAACGCCCAGCTGCATAGAGCCACACTCGGGGCCTGGAGCAAGACCAGTGCATTCCCAGCTCTTTAAGGGCACCTGGTACAGGCTGGCCACAAAGACCCCAACTGAAGCAGCACTGGGGACAGAAAAGATGTTTCTCCCACAAGAAACCAGCAGAAGCCCTATGCACAAAACCTAGCAATTCTCAGTTGTCACCTTCTGGGAGCCACAGCACTGTGTTTCCAAACAAGGGGGTGTCCGTCACAAGCTCATTGGGCAGGGATGCATGTGCCAGGCACCGGGCTGGGCTCCTGACGGCCGACACCAGGCAGCACTGGGCATCGGCTGCAAGGCACCAAGGTCTGCTGCTCAGCAAGGACCCCTCACCTGGGAGCAACAGCAGGACCAGGCTCTGCAACTCTGGGGGGAACAGGGAATTGGGGACCTCGGGGCCCCTGGCTGGCCTCTTGGAAAGAATGTTGCTGCAGTTTATGAGTGGGGTGTCCCTCACTCCCTAAGGACACAACCAACCCAGGAAACCCTCCTTTGCAGGCCTGGGGAAGAAAGAAGGTCCATATTTCAGGCATGTCAGGGGCTTCACAGGCACCTCTGAGCCTGGAAGGTCCTGGAAGTGGCTAGAAGGCACTGGGCTTCCCAATCCTGGAGCCCGGGTGTGCTGAGACTTCTTCACTTACCTGTGTTCACCTATGAGCCCCAAACCCACAGGTCCCTAGGGTCACTCCCACGGGAGAGAAATTTCAGTGTGAGAGTCAGGCCTCTTAATCTATCTTCTCTGGTCCTGTCCAAGCAGATTGCTCAGGACAAATGTGACTGGCCTTCCCTCTCCCTCATCCAAGCACCCCTGGGTAACCATATTTTAACTAAGTCTCCCCGGCATCCTCGAAATTGAACTTTCTCTGAATGACCACAGTCGAAATCATCTAGAATAAGACAAGACAACACTCGTATCTCAGATACTCTCAATAGCCAAGAGAGCCAGATTCTGGTCACCACTGGGCACCTCCACACGCCCTGAAGTGTCTGACACCTGAAGGTGCCCATCAGTGACTGGGTTGAGACCAGGCAGACTTCGGACCCAGCAAATAAAACCCAAGTTTCTTCGTGAGATGGAGGCTCAGTTGCAAAGAGTCCCTAACCAACCACCTGCTCTCTGTCTCATAGAATGGAGAAGGTGGAACAAAAGGAGGTGGGGGCTAACCAGAGGGGCCGGGTGCCCCAATTGCAACCTGCGCCGCTAACCAGGTGCCCAGATTCCGTCAGACGCCCCAGCTGGCGGCAGCCAGCGTGCACAGAGCCTTTGCTTATTTTCTCTTATTTTCTTATTTTCTCACTACACACCGTTTCAAAATGTGGACCCGGTATCAAAAGCTACTCTAACCTATCACTGTCTCCTACAAAAGACCAACCAGCCCCATCCTTAGAGGTCAGTTACAGACAAGATAGCAAGAGCCCACATACTGCTCTTGGATTTGGAAAGAACAGCCCCCCCTTTATTTTGGAAAACAAAACGAGAACATGGTCACCCCCAGGAAGGTAGGCGGACAAAGGAACCCAGCCCGGCACTGACCTGAACTTCCCGGTCCGCACCTGCAGCCCCCTCATTCCACACCGCTGGGCACCGCCGACGTCACACATGATATCGTCCCCAATCATGACGGCCTGTCACGGAGTGAAATATGCTCAGAAATGATGCCAGGAGAATTTCATTCCTGTGCTCCTTCATCTTTTTTGACATAATAAACTGCTTGATTTGATGTTTAAAACCACCATCATACAAATTAAACAAGATAATATTGTCATCATATTGATTAAAAGTCAACCTACCTTGAATATATCTCACACTGCCCCCGTGGGCCACAGCTCTGAACCGTACATATTTGTGCCATTTGAAATCAATCAGCAGACGTCAAAGTGATTTGGTGGCCCAGGACGTGCAGGGTGCTGACGCTGCCTCACCTCTACGGGAGCACAGGCTAAATAAATTTCACCTCATCCTAAACACTCTGTTAATAGCCAGGTTATTTGCCAACCCTTGGTTCTGTGAAAACTAAGTAAATCTCTGGCACATCTTTGTGAGTTTTGCTTTATACAGGTTTCGTGTTCAATAGTGAAGGTATTGCCTGTAAAACACAAAATAACACACAAACAAACACACACACACAGACACACACAGAGGAAATGCTCACAGCCTGCATGTCATTTTAAAAAGAGGCCTCTAGGATATACTCTCCCACTTGAAACAACCTCCTGTATACACACACACACACACACACACAGAGGAAATGCTCACAGCCTGCATGTCATTTTAAAAAGAGGCCTCTAGGATATACTCTCCCACTTGAAACAACCAGAAAACCAGACAAAGCCTATGAAACCACAGTTTCAAGATGCTGGACATGAAGCAACGAAGGACAGTGGTTTCTAGACACAGGAAACGGGCTGGGTGAGCCCTGCGACTGCCCTCCGCTCACTGCCTTCAGAGTCCCAGACGGCGGTGCAGGGAGGGTGCTGTGGACCGAAGCGTGTCTCTCCCCAAGTTCCTATGTTGAAGCCCTAACCCCCCGTGCAATTGTATTTGGATATAGGACAAGTAGGGAGGTAATGAAGATTAAATGAAGTCATGAGGGAGGGGCCCGATCTGATAGGACTGGCGTCCTTACAAGAGGAGGAGACACCAGCGCGTGCTCTCTCCGCACGAGCACAGAGGCATGGCCCTGCGGGGACACAGCAAGAAGGCAGCCGTCTGCAAGCCAGGAAGAGAGTCCTCACCAGAAACTGAATTTGCCAGCACAGTGAGCTCAGACTTCCAGCCTCCAGAACTGTGAGAAAATAAATCTCTGTTGTTGAAGAAACCCAGTCTGCGGTGTTTTGTTAGGATAGTCTGGGCTGACTAATGCACAGGGGAAATCCAGGGGGACCCCAGGAGACTCCCTGAATGGAGGAGACAGAACTGAGATTCTGGGGACACCAAGGCAGCCAGAGCTCACAGGACAACGTACCAGAGAGGAGGGGGCTGCAGAGAGAAGGACGATGGAGATACGCAGAGGTTCCCCTCGAGTGTTCAGCAGCCCACTGACCAGCACTCGTCAGGGAGAAAACTCCCCAAGGCCTGGGCAAGAACCACACCAAAAAGCTAGAGAAGACAGTGCCTGCCCCTCATGCAGGATGGAACGTGTTCCCACCAGGCAGGCTGGAAGTCTCCCAGTCCTCAGGCACTGGGTGGCATCTCTGCAGCGGCTTGCTTAAACGGTAGGGAATGATTAGTCCTAGCCTAAACCGTGCTCTGCTGCTGCCTCCAAAGTCTTAAAAGCAAGATCTGGAAGGCTCAAACTATTCCCACGTAATTTAACTTATATAAATAGAAAAAATTATCAGACATGCCAAGAAGGAAAATATCACACACAATGAGGAGAAAAATCAATCAAAACTGATCCAGAAATGACACAGATGTGAGAATTAGCAGGCAAAAGCATTAAATCAGTTCTTCTAACTGCATTCCTTACGTTCAAAAAGTTAAGGAGAAAAATAGAAGATAAAAGAGAGGCAGGCCTCCACATCCACCTGTAAAATGGGCCTAACTGGTGTGGTGTTCAAATCACATCTCCAAGTGAAGCATCTACCATGGTGCCTGGACATATTAGTTATCTAAACATGTTAAGAAGGAAAAATAAATACTAGGAAATGTTTTGTTGCGGAAACTCCTAACCTGCCCATGTCGGGGACAGTCCACGGGACTCACGACAGGCGTTCTCTACTCCAGTCACTCGGCACCTTTGTACAGAGCCCTGTGGGGCCCGGTGCTGGACTGAGCAGCTGGTACACTGAGTGAGTCAGACATACATGGTCCCCGCCCTTGTGGAGCTGACGGCAAGTGGAAGAACACATTTATCAGGTAATTTCACAGACACATGATCACATCCTGTGAGGAAGCACAGGAGGCTGCGAGGCCTGACTTCATGGGCTTGGTGGTGGTCAGGGAAGGCTTCCTCGAGGAGGTGAGGCTTCTGAAGAGCAAGAGGGATCAACCAGATTGGGGGGTACAGGGGAGGGAGGGAGCCTTCCCAGCAGGTGACACCACACTTGTGCTAATTACCCATCTACCTGCCATTCACCAGGGAGAGCCAGGCAATGAATTCCAAAAAGCATATGTGAATAAGCCTAAGCAGTCGTCCTTGGAAACATCTCCTGAATAGGCCTTCAAATGACAGGGACCGAGGGGAGCCGAGGAAAAGGACAACAGAGCTGGTGCCACCCCAGAGGCCAGGGAGGCAGTTTCAGCTAAACACGAAGCTCTTCTAATAATTGCACAGGCTCCTCACACGATCATATTCAAGCCGAGGCCAGAGGCGCCTCTCTCGGAGAAGCTGCAGGGCACAGTGGCACCAGGAGAAAGCCTGGAGGAGGTGACCCATGGCTGCCAAGGCCGGGACCTCTGACAGTTGCTAGTAGCCACAAGCCCACTGCAAGACAGGAGGTACTGGAAATAAAACTGCATTTCTTCCTGGCAAATATTCTGTATTTCACATTTTTCAAACTAATTTTCTCTGATCTTTCCTGTAGCTACTCCTGCTTCCCGAGGCATGTCGTATATACTGGTGACATACTATTTGACTCTAGGTAGAACAAGGACATACACTTTAATGGAATCATGTGGTATTTATTTTTAGATTCATCTATTATGGTAAATGAGGAATTCCGGTTTTCCATTTATAGTAGTGATCAAAAGTTTCTTTTAAAATACATTTATTTTTTTAAAAAGTCAGTCAATTGAAAGAAACATTAAGTAACAGGGCCAGTGGCATGTACCCACATATGGTAAAAACTGCAATTGTTTTTTCCATAATGACTGATGTTGGGGAACACACTGCCAAATCCAAACGAGCTTCTGTGTCTATCAGACTGGCTGTTTGGAAATCATCGGATCAACCGAGGAAGAAACAGCCAGCAGCACCGTGTGTTCCCTGCAGTGGGACCAGCTCCGAGTCTGCTGCACACATACAGGTGACACCAAAGGTCATGCAAAGCCAGGGTTGCCCAGGCAACTCACACAGCTCCTGGCCTCAGGTGACTGTGCCAGCCGTGAGCCCCTGCATTAGATTCTATTTAACACTTTGTCCTTCTCAAGGCCTGTTCTGAAACCGTAGGTCAGCCTTTGAACATTCAGTGTTCCAACTGAGGACCACGTCCACTTCTGCCGAAGGCTCCAGGGCCATCTTACTAGAAAGTTCCTTGGAAATGGAACAGGTCTTCCAAATATTTCACGTCATGTCTGACACCTTCCATGCTTCTGGGGAAAATAAAATTTTGCGTGTGCACACATACATACGCACAGACACACAGCTAGACGGCAGAAATTCTTCCTTCTCAGAATACAGACTCTCAGGACCTCCTGGGCTGGGACTTTTGTGGAGGTGGCCCGTGAGATGGAAGCAGAGGAATCTGGTCCCTGGAGGAAGCGCTCTCATCCAGGGAACAGCAGCTGTGCCCCTGCCGCCTGCATGTGGCAGAGCCCACGGAGTCATGCTTGAGCGCGGTGGCAGGCCGGGGGCCGGCGCCGGGGAGCAGCGATGCCTGTCTGGGCCAGCTTGTGGGCTCCGTAGACCACAGTGCGCTCGGGACCCCGGGGAGTTCACAGGTTTACTGTCGGTGAAGGGCAATAAGCGTGCAAGAAGGAGCAATTATTGCCAAATCATTTAGGATTTAAAAAATCATTGGCAAGAAGATAGAGGTCAAGAGGTGTGCTATCAGGGGAAATAAAAACTCTACCTGTCAGGCCTGGGTTTTGCTTCCTTTCTGTCTGTCACATGGTGGAGGGCAGACAGAGACACAAACTGAAAGGTCAGACCCCCCGGAACCCAGAGAGCCAGAGGGAGGCACCACAGTCACTGAGGCAGGTTTCTGGTTTGGTTCCCAAAGCAGATTCATCCATCCTCTTAAACCACTGTCCACCTGCCATGCTCCTCCCCGCCAGCCTAGGTGCCAGGAGAGCCTTGTCTAACGGGAGCGATGTTTTAGGTGCAAACTCCCAGTGCCAAAGAGCTTCCACGTTTCATGAAGGTGTTAGTTATCCCAAGACTCTGCCAGGAGATGTATTTCTCCTGTCACAAGGCCGGGAACAGCAGGGCTCAGTGTCTGTACTACAGCTCTGAGGAGCACACGCCCCACAGGGAGAGGCCTTGAGATGACATCTCGCTCTAGGATGAGCCCTGGACCTTTGGCCTTCGGGCCCAAAGGCACCCAGCTCCCTCAGACACCCGGAGACGGTGCACTGGTAAGTGATTTCCACCACGGTCTGACACATTCATAAGGAATACGTGCACAGCAAAACTCAAAGACCACTTTTTTTAAAAAAGCAAGAAATAGGCCAGATGTGGTGGTTCGTGCCTGTAATCCTAGCACTCTGGGCAGGAGTGCTAGAAGGATTGCTCGAGGTCAGGAGTTTGAGACCAGCCTGAGCAAGAGCAAGACCCCCGTCTCTGCTAAAAATAGAAAAAGTAGCCAGGCATGGTGGTGTGCACTTGTAGTCCCAGCTACCTGGGAGGCTGAGGCAGGAGGATCGCCTGAGCCCAGGAGTTTGAGGTTGCTGTGAGCTAGGCCGACGCCACGGCACTTTAGCCCAGACAACGGAGCAAGACTCTGTCTCAAAAATAAATAAATAA